TCTGATAGAGAAATTGTTCCATGGTCTCTTAATTTGCTTATGGTATCACCCTTTCTGTGTAAAACATGTACTCATTTCTACCTTAATTGGGAATACGGTGTGAGATGTTGGTCTATATCTAGTTTCTGCCATACTGTTTTCCAGAAGTTTTTGTCAAATAGAGTTTTGTTCCAAAAGCTTGGATCTTTAAGTGTATCATATACTAGATTTCTATAGTTATTTACGATAATGAAATGTGTATAATCTACTCCACTGATCCACTACTCTATTTCTTAGCCAGTACCAGATTGGTTTGATAATTACCACTCTAAATTACAGTTAAAGATCTTGTATGCCTAGACCACCTTCTTTTGCATTTTTAAAATTTATTCCCTTTATATTCTGGAGCTTTTGTTCTTCCAAATGAATTTTGATATTATTTTTTCTAGCTCTATAAAATAAAATTTGATAGTTTGATTGATATGGCACTGAATAAATAGATTACTTTAGGTAGCAGTCATTTTTATTTTCTCAGCTCAGCCTACTCATGAACAATTAATATTTTTCCTATTGTTTAGGTCTGACTTTATTCGCATGAAAAGTGTTTTACAGTTGTATTCATATAGCTCCTAGCTTTGTAGACTCCCAAGGTAGGTAAACTCCCAAGGATTTTATATTGACTACACTTATTTTAAATGGAATTTCTCTTTCTATCTCTTGGTGCTGGACTTTGTTGGTAATCTATAGAAATGCTGATGATTTATGTGGGCTTATTTTGTATCCTGAAACTTTGCAAAAGTTGTTAATAATTTAAAGTAGTTTTTTAGTTAATTCTCTAGGACTTTCTAAGTATAACATCATATCATCTGCAAAAAGTGATAGTTTGGTTTCCTCATTGCCTATTCTAATTCCTTTAATTGCTTTTTCTTCTCTTATTGTTATAGCTAAGATTTCTAGCATTATATTGAATTGTGGTGTTGATAATAGGCATCCTTGCTTCTCATCTGATTCTGTGTTGGGAAGGTTTATAACTCATCCCCCTTACACATAATGCTTGCAGATTTTAGATTAATATTACTTATCATTTTAAGGTAGGTTCCATTTATTCCAATGCTCTCTAGTGTTTTTAATAGGAATGGGTGCTGTATTTTGTCAAAGGCTTCTTCTGCAGCTGTTGAGACAATCATGTGATTTCTGTTGGTTTGGTTATTGAGATGGCCAATTGTGCTGATAGTTTTCCCAATATTGAACCAGCCTTGCATTCGTGGTATAAATCTCACTTGGTCTGTAGTCTCTTTACTAGTATTTTATTTAAAATTTTTACATCAACATTCATTAGAGAAATCAGTTTATAATTTTTTTCTCTGTTTTGGCTCTTCCTGGTTTGGGTACAAACACCATATTTGTGTGGCAAAAAGAAATTTGGTAGGACTCTTTCTTCACATATTTTTCCATATAGTTTATATAAGTATTGGGATTAGTTGTTATTTAAATGTTTGATGGAATCCACTTGTGAATACAACTCCTAAGAATTTTTTTCTTAGGAAGTTCGCTTATGGCTTCTTCAATTTCTTTTTTCTAATATTGTGTTATGTATTTTATTTCTTCTGTTAATTTGGGAAATTTATATTTCTGTATATATTCATCCATTTCATTTAGATTGTCAAATTTATTGGCAAATAATTAGGCAAAATAGTTCCCAAGAATTGTCTTAATTTCCTCTTCATTGGTGGTGAATTCACCCCTTTCATTTTTTATAGTAGTAATTTAGTTTTCTTTCTTTTTTGTAATCAAATTAAGCAATGATTTATCTTCCTCCCCCATAAAACCAGCTACTAGTTTTATTTATTAATTCAATGGTTTTCTTACTTTCCATTTTTTCTTACTTTCTCCTTTGATTTTCAGGATGTCCAATTTGGCGTTTAATTGGGGATTTTTCATATCGTTCTTTTTCTAGTTTTTTTTAATTGCATGCCCAATTCATTGACCTGCTTTTTCTCTATTTTGTGCATGTAAGTGACAAGAGATATACATTTTCCCCTAAATACCACTTTGGCTGCATTCTATAAATTTTTATATGTTGTCTCACTCTTGTAATTTTCTTTAATGAAATTATCAATTGTTCTTTTATCCACTTTTTCTAGGATTAGACTATTTCATTTCCAATTAATTTTTTATCTCTTTCCATTGTCCATTATTGAATGCAATTTTCTATTGCATTATGATCTGAAAATGATATATTTACTGTTTCTGCTTTTCTGCATTTGGTTGTAGGGTTTTTATGTCCTAATACATGGTCATTTTTTTTTGTGTGGGTGCCATGTACTGCTGAGAAAAAGGTATATTCTTTTATATTCCCATTCAATTTTCTTCAGAGATCTGTTATATCTAACTTTTCCAGAATTTTGTTCACCTCCTTAACTTCCTTCTTTTCTTTTCTTTTTTTTTGTTGCTAAATTAATATAGTTCTGAGGGGGGAAAGTTGAGGTACCCCACTAGGATGGCTTTATTATCTATTTCCTCCTGCAACTCATTCAACTTCTTCAAAAATTTAGATTTTATACTATTTGGTGCATGCATGTTTAGTATTGATATGACTTTATTGTCTATAGTACTTTTCAGCAATGTCATTCCTTCTTTGTCTTTTTTAATTCAAACTATTTTTTGCTTTTGCTTTCTCTGAGACCATGATTATTACCCCTGATTTCTTGTCTTCAGCTGAAGCATAATTGATTCTGCTTCAGCCCCTTACATTTACCCTGCGGTGTATCTGCTTCAGATGTGTTTCTTGCAAACAACATATTGTAGGATTTTTTTATCCATTCTGTTATCAGCTTCCATTTTATGGGTGAGTTCATTTCATTCACATTTATAGTTATGATAACTATCTATGTATTTCCCTCTAAGCTATTATTTGCTTGTTTATGTCCCCTCTCTTTTATCCCCCACCCTTTTCCTCTTCACAAGTGTTTAACTTCTGATCACCACCTTCCCCAATATACCCTCCCTTTTATCAGTTCCCTCTCCTCCTTCTATTATCCCTATCTTTTTTTAATTTCTTTATAGGGTAAGACAGATTTCTATATCCAATTGTTTATGTGTGTGTTATTCCTTCTTGGAGCCAATTTTGATGAGAGTAAAAATTAAGCTTTGCGCACCACCATACCCCCCATCTTCCCTTTCATTTTAATAGCTCCTTCATGCCTCTTTTATATGGGATAATTTACCCCATTCAATTTCTCCCCCTTCTTTTTCTAATGCAATTCTTTCTCATCACTTTATTTTATTTTTTGGGATATTATCCCATCAAAGTTACTTTATACCCATACCCTCTGTCTATATTTATTCTTTCTAATTGTTCTTATAGTGATAAAGTTATTAAGAGTTACAAATATTACCTTGCCATATAGAAATATAGGCAGCTTAACCTAATTGAATCTCTCATGTTTTCTCTTGTTTCCTTTTTACCTTTTTATGTTTCCCTTGTATTTGAAGGTCAAATTTTTTATTCAGCTCTGCTCTTTTAATTAGACATGCTTGAAAGTTATCTATTTTATTAAATTTCCATTTTCCCCCTGAAAGATTATATTCAATTTTGCGGGATAAGGCTTTGCCTTTCAGTATATCATATTCCAACTCCTCCATTTCTTTAGTGTGGAAGCTGCCAAATCCTGTGTAATCCTGACTGTAGCTCCACAATATTTGAATTGTTTCTTTTTGACAGCTTGCAATACTTTTTCCTTGATCTGTGAGCTCTAGAATTTGGCTCTGAATTTCTTTGGAGTTTTCATTTTAGGATCTCTTTCAGTCAGTTATTGGCGGATTCTTTTGATTTCTATTTTTGCCTTTTGGTTCTAATATTTCAGGGTAGTTTTCTTCGATAATTTATCAAAAGATGTTGCCCAGAATTTTCTTTTGATCATGGCTTTCAGGTAGTTCAATTATTCTTATATTATCTCTCCTGGATCTATTTTCTAGGTACATTGTTTTTCCAATGAGAAATTTCACATTTTCTACTTTTTTTTTTAACTTTTCTGATTTTGTTTTATCATATCTTGATGTCTCATAGAGTCATTAGTTCCCACTTGTTTAATTCTAATTTTTAAGAAATTATTTTTGGGGCAGCTAGATGGCACAGTGGATAAAGCACTGGCCCTGGAGTCAGGAATACCTGAGTTCAAATCCAGCCTCAGACACATAACACTTACTAGCTGTGTGACCCTGGGCCAGTCATTTAACCCCATTGCCTAGCCCAAAAAAAAGAAAAGGAAAAGGAAAAAAAAGAAAAAGAAAAAACTTAAAAAAAAAGAAATTCTTTTCTTCTTTAAGCTTTTTTATTTCCTTTTTCATTTGGTCAATTTTATTTTTAGGGAGTTATTTTCCTAAATAAAATTTTTGTATCTTTCTCCATGCTATTGACTTTTTTTTCTTGATTCCTTTCCATTATTCTCATTTCTTCTCCCACTTTTTCTTCTACTTTACTAATTTGTTTTTAAAATCATTTTACAGCTCTTCTTGGAATTATTTTTGGACCTCAGACCAACTTACATTTTTCTTCGAGGCTTTACATATAGCTATTTTGACATTATTGTCCTCTTCTAAGTTTATGCCATGATCCTCCCTACCACTGCAGTAACTTTCTATAACCAAGCTCTTCTTTTCGTTTCTGTTTTTTTGATCATTTTTTCTGCCTTTTTTTTATGACTTAGTGTTTTTATCTGAGAGTTGGGCTCTGGTCTTGCACTGTTCCAAGCTTTTTTTTGGGGGGGGGGCTCTGAATCTTACTGCTAGCTTTCACCACAATTCCAAAGGACTTATAAAGAAAAAGGTTATCCACATCTAGATAGTGAAAAGATGGACTCAGAATATAGATTGAAGCATATTTTTACTATTTATTTTTCTTGCTTCTTTCAAAATATAGCTAAAGTGAAAATATATTTTTCATGACTTCATAGATACAATAGGCATCATATTCTTTTGCCTTCTAGATATGTGAGGGAGGGATGGAAGAAAGAAGTGAAATTTCAAGCTGAAAATAAAAACAAGATAAAAAAATAAAAATTAAACTTGCTGGTACAAAAAAAATATTACATTCAGATGAATGAATTACAGTTTATGAGTGTGAGTGGAAAACTTGTGGGTATCAGTAAGACTAGGGTAATTACTGTCTCTTTTTATAGGTGGTCTTGGGGAAGAGATTATGTAATTTGAGAAATCGGTTAAGTTATGGCATTAGAGGAAACATCAATAGCCCTCTTGAAATCAAATAGAAAAATATCAGGAATTGAGGTGCAGGAAAAAAAAAACAAACCTGTGAGTCAAGCACTGGATTCAGTTATGAAGAAAGGAAAATGATCAAGGTGGGGGATGGTGTCACATAATAGCCATGGATTGACTGACTGATTTTGGATAATACGAACATTAAAGAGAAAGAGGTTGCTAAATGGTGGATATTGACAGAAAGCTAAGGAGCAGCAATGTGAGCAAAATACATTCTGAAAAACCCACTCCAACAAATGAATTAAATAATGGGGGTGGGAGGCATGGCAGTAGCTAGTACTGAAAAGTGTGATGAAGGAATGAGGGAATGAGTTTCATCTGGAGAGAAGTAGGTCTCAGTAAGTGCTAGAATATGAAAAGAGTGAGAAGTTAAGAAGTTTAAGATGAAAGTTTGCAATTTATGCAGCAGGCATTGCAAAAAACAGAGTGGAAGGATGTATCAAATATTTAGTAGGACATTGGTGGGAGTACTAAGGTAGATGGGGAAAAAGGAAGGAGACATCTGATATTGATGAGGGGGCCACTATTTGGAAGCTGGAAGTTCAGTATAAATGGGATTATTAAAATAAAAGAGGATGATGGTGTCCAAAATAATTTATTCATAGTCTAAGAAGGACATCAGTGAATGGCAAGATGTCTGCTAAAGGAGACAGGTGATTAGAAATGTCAGTGTCATCGTTCATTGCTGGCTTCATGGTAACTTGTCCTTTCCATGCCTTGGGAAGGGCCAAGAAACCCATCTGAGGGCAGGCACAAACAGAAGAAGGTATGATGTGGAATTCTGAGGTCCTAGACAGCAGACAAGAGGTAGAATGTCTCAGGGTCCCTGTCATATTGGTATGCTTATCATTAAAATTGATTATACCTCTGGTAAGAATTGGCAGACAATGATCCAGAAAGGTCCCTGCCCCTGGAACTTATTTTATTCTTTATGCTTTCTTGGGTGTTTCTGTAAGGCCTCAGCAGGATCATATAGCACTTGGGAAAAAAGATGCAGCTCAGTAAGCCAGCACTGGATGCCAGGATGGAGAAGATTTCCACAGTAACCATGGCCTTGCCTTTGGTGCTCTGGTATGTGGGGAGGAAGGAGACCCACACACTGCAGAACACCAACATGCTGAATGTGATGAACTTGGCTTCATTGAAGGTGTCAGGCAGGCTCCTGGCCAGGAAAGCCATTGTGAAGCTGCACAGTGAAAGGAATCCCATGTAGCCCAGGACAGAGTAGAAGGCAAAGTCAGAGCCCTCATTGCACTTCATGATGATGTGGCCAGGTTCCATGTCAGGAAAGGGGGGAGAGGTTCCCAGCCAGATGGCACAGAGAACCACTTGAATCCCAGAACAGATAATGACAACAGAGTTAGAGACCTTGGATTGCACCCATATACTACTCCTGCTCCCTGGTTTTGTAACCCTGAAGGCCAGGACCACCGTGATTGTTTTGGCCAAAACAGAGGACACAGCTACAGTAAACACAACCCCAAATGTTGTTTGTTGGAGGAGGCAGGTGACTGAAGTAGGACGGCCAATGAAGAGTAAGGAGCAGAGGAAACAGAAGATGAGGGAGGTGAGGAGAGTATAGATGAGAGTCCAGTTGTTGGCTTTCACTATGGGGGTGTCTTGAAACTTCACAAATACCCAGAGAACCAGAGATGTCATCAGAGAAAAGGAAAGAGCCACACAGATCAGAGTTATCCCCAAAAGTTCTGAAACATTTAGGAAATTCATAACCTTGTGGAGGCATTGATTTCTTTCCTTATTTGGATACTCATCTTCTGGGCAATTCATAGAACATTTCATATCTGTAGGAGACAAAGATGTCTTTTTTAGGATTTTAGATTAAACAAATTCTCCCCATCCCTATATACAGAAAATAGGTAAAATTGCTCAAAGTATCATTTCTTACTTCACAAGGCATAATAGCTCTTTCTATGCTGGAAGATGGTCATTGAAAAATAACCTAGTGATTAATCCAGGCTCATTCTATCTATACTTATTACTGTTAAATTTTCATTTTATTTTTCCAGTATTCAGATTTTCGAACTAAATACAAATTTTTCCTATGGGTCTATTGTTGTAGTACAATGACATAGAAACTGGAGCCCTTTCCTTCATTCTCTCAGTTCTTTCTGAATCCATTATGTTGTAGCAACAACTCTAGATTGAGATTGTCTGATAAGTTTGCTAAATACTAAACTATAAATTAACAATTAACTGTCAGCTGTGGGCCACACACCTGAGGTGCAAAACCTAAAGAATTAAGCAATACCCACTCATAATCATCTTATGTTCTAATAGGATATAAGTAATGGTACAACATCTCATCTTTTTTTTTAATGGTCCTTATGGTGATCTCCAGAAAAATTATACGAATTTTATACTTCATGTGTGAGAGCCAAATGAGTCAAATCATCCACCCTTACTAAATTAAATAATAACAGGTTATTCCTTGATTCCTTCATCTGGTGACAATACACCTCAACTATTCACTAGGCATAAGCCATACATGGAAACATCTCTGCATGAGAAAGGAAATTTGATTGGTATAGTTGAGGGGATTATCCTCATTTTCAGGAGCCTGTACAATTCCAGGCAGATAGCTGGGTTCAGAAAGACTAGTTTTTGGTAGTGGAGAGAGGAGAGATTGTTCCAGATAAACCTCTTAGATGTCATGGATTGCTCTGACAAAAGTAAAGTGTTAAGCCTTAGGCTTGGTCACAGACTTGTTCTTCCTCCTTTGGCCTAGGGAATCTTGTTAACTACAAAGGATCAGGAAGACTTGGACTTTTTCTCTGGCATGCTTATATCACCTACATAATGGCTAACCACCAAGTATGTATTTGAAGCAAAGAATAGACCAGACACAGTGAGGAAAGGAGCTTCAAGGCTCTACAAAGAGCCTAGAAACAAAAGGCAAAGTCATGCCTAAGGAGAGATCTTGAAGACTAGGGAAAGGATGTGTGGTAGTTGTGACTAACTGCTCCTTATTTCATTAATTCTTGAAGTCTGAGCATATTTCCTCTTGTACAGTCTATATGCTCATGGGGCTTCACTTGGTTAGTGAAAATGGATTCTATCAGTGAATTCTCTTACAGATGAAGTGAGATAGTCTATGAATGGAGAAGTAAATTGAGTGTGGCCTGCTTGAAAAGCCTAATAGAATTTGATCCCTGCAGGCCACAAAGTGCATTAGAAAATCACAAGTTAACATTATTTATGAAGTACTGTACTGGTATTTTCTTAAACATTTCCCAGTAACATTTTAATCTCATGCTGGTCCCATGAGGGAGTTTGGCAGGCAGGATGTGGCCCACAGGCCTTGGTTTTGACATCTCTGGTATAAACCTAAACCTTTTTCTAAGAAATCAATCTGATATTATTTTTCCTATTCATCCACTTCGCTTAATATTCTACATAGGAGGATGTACTTCATGTCTTTTGCTCTCTCTTTTTCCTCTTTTTTCACTTTTGTCTCTTGGATCCTCTAGCCTTTTCAAGACACAAGTTAATTTCTATTTGCTGGGAAGGCTTTTGTAGCCCAACCAGATGCTTTAGCCATTTTTTCTGAGATTACCTCCATCTGTTCTACATATATTTTCTATTTATTAGTTACTTATACATTGTCTTCCATTTTTAATATGACTTCCTTGGATACAGGGACTGTTTTTGCCTTTCTTTATAGCTCCAGGAAGTAATACTGTTGGGAGCCGAGTCCTTATGGAAAATCTCTAAGTCCTTAGACTTAAGGGGTCAGTATGTGTAGAGGCTTGCCTCAGGATAAATGCTTCCTTGACTCTTGCCCCAATTCTGCTTGTTATAGTTTGTTGATTCCAAGTTCTCACTCATGACCAGCCTTGAAGCCAGGTGGCTGACTCAGGCAGATAATACTAAGAACTGGACAGGGAAACAATAGATATGAATTTTGGAATTAAAACTGCTTTCTCATGAGAAAGTGAGGCTCTTTAGCTGCTTAGTCTGTGTATGTTATTAATTAGCACTTGTAGATCATTTCTCATGTTACAAAGCTGTTTTTCTATGGGTATATAATGAGAAAACTTTTGAAATAAATTAATCTTGAGCATTAACCTCTAAGACTTGCCTGGCCCAATTTTTCTTTCTCTGTTTTTCCTCACTTCTCTGTCCTGCACCATGCCAGCTGCTGGCACTTGGCACCCAAACAGGGACAATTTGAACCTTGGACAAGGACCACTTTTAACCCAGGGAGATTGAAGAGAGTTTGAATGTGGCACAGCGGTGCCTTACCAGATCAGAGGTCCACTACAAAAAGAGATAGAGGGTAAGGGAATTTCATTCATGTTGAAAGAAATACGACACTAGGCTTATCCGGGGATTTTTCTACTCTCCTTTAAAACGGGTCAGACTCAATTTAAACATCGAGAGCAATACCTTCAAGTTTTCTTTCCTCTCATTTGGTTAAAGTGTGTTCTCCCTGGAGAAAGCTCATTCTGCAAAACCTTAAGGAAAATTTTGCCTGGTCTCCATAACATCTGGAGAACCATGAAAAGAAAAAATTGTTTGATTTGTGCAAGGAATTTCTAACAAGTCTCTCTAAGCTTTTGGATTCTCCCTGTTACTACTCTGTATTTGTTCTGTGTTTGTCTATGAGGTATGAGTGAGGGTCTGCATGTAATCTGATAACCTTTGTAACCAGGTAGCAAGAATAGCATTCCAGGGGCTGCAGCTGGACTCTGGAGTGCCACTTTCTTTCTCCCCTTCTCCCTCCCTAATACCAGCTGCCTCACAGGAGCAGGTGGATGGGAGAGAGAAAGAGAGAAAAATACTTCATTATTTAACTTATATGATTGGTAAAAAGCAAGTTGAGAAGGATCCTCAAAGTATCAGGTCAGAATTAGAAAGAAATATGGTATGTGCAGTTTTAAACGGACTTTATTCAAACATACAAGTATGGGTAGAAAGAAAAGCATAAGCTATTTGCATGAATGGTGTCAACAGAGGTTTTGAGAGTAAAAGATTTGGAAACTTTTAAAGAATTGTTGGAAAATTTTTCTCTCTCTCTTTACATTTTAAGCTCTGGCCAAGTTTTGAATGTGAAGTGAAAGACAACAAAGAAAAGTTGTTGCAAAATTTTCTCTTCCTCTCTCCCGCATTCCAGCTTTGGCCAAGTTGTTGAATGTGGAAGACAGAAAGATAAAGAGGAAAAGAGGGTGATTTTTTTCCCCTCAAATCAAAAAGAAAAGTTTTTATGTATCAGAATACAACCAAAAGATAATTTAGTTCATTCTGGTAATATTTCAAATGAAATGTGATGCTCTTAATTTAATGCTTAAGTCAGAATTTATTATATTTTTTGGCACTAAAGTAAATTAGGAAAATGTACAGATCTGAAATTTGTTAACTGGGTGACATTAAGCAAGTTACCTCAGTTTATCTCATATGATTGAAAGATGCCTAACACAATGCCAAACAGCATACAAACACTATAAATATTAACTATTATTATTAGTTCCTTAATTAGATGTGACCAGCCTACAATGTCAGATGCCTGATTTTCGATGTAAGGAAATTTGGAAATGCATTTAACAAAATTGAAGTCACCTGAGTGGTAATGTGTTTGTTTGAAGCTTTAAACATCTAGTATTGTTTCAAATCAGTAAACTTTTGTATCAGTTATGTCAATCAGTTTTTCATAATTTGGATGTCATTAAAATGTGAACTAAAAGAAACTAAAGGACAGTGGAAAAATTGTGTAAAACCAGTTAAATTACTTTATCAAGCCCTGCTAATCCTGTCTTATGATGTTTTATAACGGTCAATTAGAAAATCAGGTGTTTCCACCTTTACCTGTAATTAAAGAATGGCTTATAGCTAAAACAATTTGACTATCACTTATGAAAACCAGATTGTTAATTAAGTTATTTGAAGTTACTCTTTTAATGTTAAAATCTAGAAGTGTTAATTAATTACTTATGTGTGAAAAGGAGGGGCACAAGGCAATTCCCTTTATTTTGTAAACTGTGTGCATTAAATTAGTAACTGAGAAAAATGCCACAAAAACAGGTGGAAGTCTACTTACAGGGAATATAATTCATTTAGGAAAAAAACCAAAATTTTGTTCAGAACACTATCAAACCTGTTAGAAATATTCCCAGACAAAAATAATTCATTATATAGATGATATACTTTACAGTTATTCTACTACTAGCAAACTTTCCTTATTAATGCCTAAGCTTCAACAAGCTCTTCAGTCTTATGGACTTATAATTGTTCCAGAAAAGGTAGAAAAGAAATCACCCTTTACTTACCTTAGACATATTGTCTCACAGTCTATAATTAAACCCCAAAATATTACAAATTAGGCAAGATTTCTTAAAAACTCTTAATGATTTTCAAAAACTTCTTAGAGATACTAATTATCTTCAGCCTGCCTTGCAGATCACCACTGATCAATTATCTAATCTTTTTGTCACCCTCAGATAAGGAATTTAAACTAGTAGAGCAAAAGATAGCTAAAACCCAATTGATTCTTATTAATCCCCAAGAAGAGTAATGGCTATATTAGCCACACCTATTTATCCTACTACAGTCTTATTTCAAACTGCTAGTGTAATTGAGTGGATTTATCTCCCTCACTAATTCCCTAGCTCATTTACTTCCTATACTACCATGGTAGCATTATTAGTTCAACAGACTGTTAAAAAGATATTTACGATTATCAGGACATTTTCTTCCCATTATTCAGCCAGCCCTACAATAAACAACAGCTTGATTCCCTAATAGCCTCCTCTAAAGATTGCCAAGTTGCTCTCTCTATATTTATGAATAAACTTGATAATCATCTTCCTTCACTTAAGATATTATCTTTTTTCATTTCATTTCATTTCAATTATTCTTAGAGTTTCCCAAACGTCATACAATACACCCCTATACCCCGAGTGCTCACTGCTTTTACTGACTGCTCAAGTAGTGGAAAAGCTAGTTAATGTATTTCTCAACACCATCACAAAGTAATTCAAACTTCCTTTTCCTCTGCCCAGAAGGCAGAACTTTTTGTTTTGATACTCCTTTTTCAAGATTTTTCTGAACCTCTTAATGTAATGTCCAATAATAAATATTCTGTGTATGTTGGTCAACATATAGAAACAGCAAAATTAAAGCACATATTGTCCCCCTGATTTGTATTTCCTTTTTCAACAATTACAAACTCTTATTCGGTCTCATACCAATCCTCTTTATATTATTCACATATGAGCACATTTTAATTTGCCCGGACATCTTACTGAAGATAATGCCATTCTTAATTTTCAACTAGAATTCTATCCAACACTTTCAATCCCTACCATACAACAAGCTATTGATTCTCATTCCAGTTTTGCCAAAATGCTGCCACTTAACTTTTTATTAATCTTTTATTGGGCCTTTTATTGGCTACATTCTGCCAATGCAGCAACCTTATTATTTTGTTAAGATAGAGAAGATAATATTTTGTGACTATTTTTTGAATAAATAAACCCCTGCACTATTAGAAACATAGCACAAAGAATAATTTTTTAAAAAAGCTGTTCCAAATGAGTCACTTTTATTAACCTACCAAATGAATTGAGTTACTCATATGCCTTCTTTTGAAAAGCTTTCTTATATTCACATTATAGACGATACCTTTTCTTCTTTCACTTTTGCCAGTTTACAAACAAGTGGAACAATTAAACATGTAATCAATCATATTTTACAAGCCTTCACAATTATGGGTGTATCTAAACAAATTAAAACAGATAATACCCCTACTTACATTTACAAAACATTTTCTTCCTTTTATGCTTTTTATAACATTTCTCTGATCACAAGCATTCTATATAATCAAAAACAAAGATATTAAAACTATTCTTCTTAAACAAAAAAGGGGGTACCTGGGCTATTGGCTATTACATTATATTATTTTTTAAAAAATATTAACAAATATGCGTACACTCCAGCCGAAAGACATCTTGAGAAAAATAAACACCCAGAGGCCCAGATCCATTACTAATGTGGGGATGAAGGTATGCTTGTGTTTTTTTAGAAAACTTGGATAAACCTGTCTGGATACCACAGAAAAATGTCCGAGCACGTACCACAATTCACAGCTCAAATGCAGAGCATGAGGATTCGGGGAAAGTGCAGAAGGAGCTGATCTACAGTGACGAGTTGCCTTCCAACATGGGTCAAGTGAAAGCTCTATCTCATCAAGCGATGGACTTAGTAAAGGAGCAGGGAAAACCACAGACTCCTGAACTTTTTTTTTTTAGCAATGGTAGCTTTACTTTCTGCTCAAGTGTGTGATGTACAGAGTGGTCAGCACTTGACTTACAATTACCCTCAGTTCTCTAGCATCCAAGACACCTATATGTTTTTCAAAATTGAGCAACAATACTGAATCCTGTCTTTTTCTTGTTGCATCATCTTTTAACACCAGTTCATCTAATGGATGTGTAAATTTTGTTCAATCTAATACTACTCTTGAATGGAATGTTACTTGTGTCAATTGTATTCTTAAACAATGTATTGATAATAAAATAATTGCTATATTGTACTTTTGGTAGAACAACCATCACTTGTTATTTTCCCTACTAACATCTCACATGAATAGTTCCAGAACTCTGGTGAACATGCTTTTCAAATTATTTCTTCCTCTTTAGCCTGTTCAAAATGATTTATTAGCCTCTTTATTACAGGATTAATCACTGTTGCTTCTCTTATTGTATCCACTACTGTCTCATCTATTGTGCTACAATCTGAAGTTCAAACTGCACAATTTGTAAATAACTTAGCAAAAAATATAGGTTTAGCACATAAACTACAAGAAGCTATTGATAGAAATATTATGTATAAGGTTAATCTGCTAGAGCAATCACTATTGTATTTAAAGGATGAGTTAGAAACCTTGAAAACAAGGTTGCTATTGTGATGTAATTATAGATATTCATATATTTGTGTTACCCCACTACCCTATAATGCTTCAGATCCTTATATCTCATGGGACAAGATATGTGCCCACCTATTTAAGGGTTGGCACGAATCAAATATTACCCTTGACCTCGACAACTTACATACTTTGACCAAGGATATTAAAAATAGCCCACATCCAGGAATTGATCCTAATAAAGTCACAAACACTACTCTATCTGCCTTACAACAATTATCTCCCTGGAACAGAATATCCATGGTATTGCATTTATTGCCTTATGTTATTGGCCTAATTTGTTTCTGTTTTTTGTTTCCCATTCCTTTTGAGATTCATATATGCAACCATCAAACCAATCATGAGTCAATTACAGGAACTTAAATTAACAAACAAAAAAGGGGGAGAGGTTGGGAGTCAAGTCCTTATGGAAAATCTCTAAGTCCTTAGACTTAAGGGGTCAGTACATATAGAGGCTTGCCTCAGGATAAACTCTCCCTTGACTCTTGCCCCAATTCTGCTTGTTATAGTTTGTTGATTCCAAGTTCTCACTCATGCCCAGCCTTGAGGCCAGGTGGCTGACTCGGGCAGGTAATACTAAGAACTGGGCAGGGAAACAATAGATACGAATTTTGGCATTAAAACTTTCTCATGAGAAAGTGAGGCTCTTTAGCTGCTTAGTCTGTGTATGTTATTAATTAGCACTTGTGGATCATTTCTCATGGTACAAAGCCGTTTTTTTTTATGGGTATATAATGAGAAAACTTTTGAAATAAACTAGTCTTGAGCATTAACCTCTAACACTCACCTAGCCAGCAGCTGGTGTGGTGCAGAACAGTTCTGCACCACACCAGCTGCTGGCATAATACAGTGTCTGGAACATAGTAACCCTTGAATGAATGTTTGCCATTTCACTGATAGATGTGCCGAGAGAGTATCTTTCACAGAATCCCCAATCTCCTTTCATTCACTTCCATGGCCTGAAAGGCATCTTATTCAAGGCCCAACAACACCTCTATAACTGAGGAATAGATAACTGCCATCCCTACACCCAAAATCTAATTGTATCCTTCCCTCCAGGATGACTGGTATCATCCGTTTTTCCATTTTCTCCAATGACAATATCATCCTGTGCACTAACATCAAGGGAGAATTTATGCCTTCCTGTAGTTGAGTTAAAATGTAGAAAAGAAATTGCAGCATGCAGAAAGGAGGTACAGTGGATAGAGCACTGGCCCTGGAGTCAGAAAGACCTGAATTCAAATCTGGCCTCAAGCACTTTTTGGTTGTGTGACCCCAGGTTAGTCACCTCAATTGCCTCAAGAAAAAGAAAAGAAAATTGCAGTTGCTTTTAGTGTTCCATGGATTGTCTGTCTCCTCTGTGGAAAAATCTAAGTCAAGAAAAACTGATGCAACAGATCGGGAAAAACCCTGGACTTTCCCACAGGGCCAAATCTCTGGCATTGGCTTCAGGCTATAATCCCATCAACTGACCTTTCATTGTGGCTACACCTAATCTCTGTTACCCTAAACCTAACCTGGCCCTCTTTTGTTTTACCTCCCTAAGTCCCCAGCTACTTCCCACCCTTAATCCTATCTAGGCTCCATTCTCCCTTGGCCATATGGTCCAGGTCTCTGGAGTTCTATTACTTCATAGACTACTTGGCCACTGCTAGATCCCTCCCATAGTCTTTCTGTATATAAGGTCCATCATATCTCCATTAAGGTGCTCATATTATTAAAATCTAGCCACTGCTCAGATTCTTACAATCTGGCCAATAGATCAGTAATGTTCAGACTCCTTAAGAGTCTGCCCAATATGACAGATGTTCTAATAAACCTTGTCTTTGGTGAGAAAAAAAAGTCATCTGACAGATTGCCTGTTTGCCATTTTTTTTTACCCAGAAGTTTCCTACAAAGGGAAAGAAATCAGTGTGCAGGAGGATTGTCTATCCCTAAAAAAAGGAATGTGGAAGGAGCTAATCAGGGTAAAATGTGCTCCCACAATCAGATAGTAAGGTTGATATTACAGTTGTTTCTGACCTCGGTATATGTCCAGGTCCACACTATGGCCTCCTCATTAATGGTAAAATCTTGACCAGGCTGAGCCTGGGGGTTAAACTATCCATATTGAAGATTACATAATTCAGAGTTTTACACTGAGCCTCAGGGTTTCTGTTCTCATCCATAAACACCTGATCAACCGCACTGTTATTAAACTGGATCTTCTTTAGAAACGAGTGGAGCTGTAAGAGAAGAGAAATCTCAGTCACTGCCTGGTGCCTGAGGTCAGGAATCTCCCAAAATGAAGATCTGTGAATTGTTCAGGAAGTCAGTCCATAGTTACTAACATTTAATTAAGTGCCTATTATATGTTGCACATTATGTGAAGAAATTGAGATATAAAGGAACACAAAATCAGTCTCTGTTATCAAGGGCCTTGTATTCCAATTGGAGAGATAAGGTATACATACATACATACATACATACATACATATACATATATATACATACACACACACACACACACACACACACATATATAAAACTAAAAACAGAAGTAGTCCCTATAAGCTTTGTTCACACTCCCATCCTTGCATGTGTGTCAGGTTCATGAAGAAGGCTCAATCTTTCATCAAGCTTCCAGGCAGGTTGCTGGGGAGCTGTTGGCTTTTCTCTCCACTGCCATCAGTTTAAGCCTCCCTATTTAACTGTGCCCTCCCCAAAGGTAACCACTAGTGATTAATGTCCCATTTCACTTAACTTTTCAACAGCAGTTAACTCTTACAAAAGTGAATACACTTCACTATTAATGATAGAAATAGCTGTTGCAAAGCATTACCCCCTGAAATAGGGGTGGGGTTATAATTTCCCATTCGTCACTTCAATCCTCAGGAAGAGTGCATCCATTATTAAAGCATTTGCCTCCTGTTCATACTGGCACTATTCTGTCCTGCTGCCTTGGAAACCCAACCCCCTCTCCATTTTCCATGTTTTGCTCTGAAAACTGCAATCAAATCAGTGCTATTATTGTCTCTGGAAAGGTCTAGTCAATGTACTGACCTTTTACTCCACACACTGCTTCTGTGATTTCTCAGAACAAATGGGCCTAGACTTCATTGATTTTTTGCATCAAGCCTTCGGTCTGAGGCAGTGTGATATGGTGGATGAAGTGCTGAGGATATAAGCAGGAAGCCCAGACTTGATGTCCTGTCTCAGACACTAAGTAGGCTCTGTCACTCTGGGCTACCTGTTCCACCTTTCTCTGCCCCACTTACTGCATCTAGATCATCAGAGTAATAGTAGCCCCTGACTCTCATGGCTCTTGTGAGGATGAAAGGCAAGAACGCATTGGAAGTGCCTTGAATTCCTTGATGTGCTACACAAATTCTGGTCACTAGAATTTTTGAGTCATAAAACTTAGCGAGGGAATAAGGAAGCTAGAGACAGTCCAGAAAAGGACAATCATGCTTGTAGGGTCTATTGAAACCTTGAAATGCAAGAGTGATTTTGATAGAACTGGAGGTGTTTATTCTAGATAGAGAAAGTTTAGAGGAGCCATGATGCTATCCTTTGAAGTATTTTAAGGACTTTCATGTGGAAGAAGAATTGAATTTTTGTCTTACTGCAGAGGACATAGTTTGGGACAAAGGTAAAGAGAGATTAGATCTGATGTAAGGAGCAGACTTCTACCAACTAGAACTCTTTGTAAAGGAATGGGCTGCCATGAGAGGCAGTGCCTGCCCCGACCTTTGAGTCCCTGGGGCAATGCCAAAAGGAAAGTTTGTTGAGTTCTGACAGAAAAGATTCCTGTTCTCATACTTATTGGCTTCAATAGTGTTTGATGTCCTTCCCTTCTTGACTCCTCTGTAGGCTTTGACACTGTCAATCAACACCTTGTCTTCGATACTTTCTTCTCTCTAGGTCTTCATGACACTACTTTCTCCTGGTTTCCCCCTTACTTATCTGACCACACTTGAGGAATGAGTGAATATGGTCACCGAAAGGAAATTTCTAGGCAAGAATAGATAGAAGTTAAAAAATAAAGGGTATAGATTAGTGGTGGGGAATATGTCTTACCATGGAGCAGTGTCTTCTGTGACACCTGCAATAACTGGTATTTTTCTGTGAGTGAGGTACAGGGGAATAGGAGAATACATGAAGGTAAGCCCTGTGAGAAAGTGGCAGAAAGTACCTAGAGGGCAAAGCCTAGAACAGATAGAATAGAAATTTGACGCTATGAAGAATACAGTAAAAAAAAGATAATTATTGGCATCATAAATCAGAGAAGGAGGGTCTAGAGATGATACAGAAGTTGAATAAGAAATCCTTTTATTTAAAAGGGTAATAAAAATGATTTTTATTCCTGTTGATTTGATAAAGTTCTTTAAATATTTTTGACATGAGACCTTAATCTGATAATCTGGGTATAAATTCCCCCCCCCCAATTTTCTGCTTTCCTCCTTATCTTTTATTTGATTTTTTAAAAATCTTTTACTTCATTGTAATCAAAATTACTATTTCACATCTAATTTAGCTCTCTATCTCTTGTTTATTCATAAATTGTTCACCTACCTATAATTCTGACAAGTAATATGCTCCATGTTCTTCTAATTTTCTTGTAATATCTCTCTTTATTTCTAGATCATGTATCCATTTTGACCTTGTTTTGGTAAATGGTTCAAGATATTGGTATATGTTCAGTTTTTGCCATACTGCTTTCTAGTTTTCCCAATAATTTTTACCCAATTAATGAATTTTTATCCCAAAATCTTAAGTCTTTACACTTATCAAATACAAGGTTATTATATTTATTTGCTGCTGTAAATTGTGTATCTACTCCATTCCATTGATCTACCTTTCTATTTCTTAACCACTACCAGATAGTTTTGATGATTATTTCCTTACAAGGCAGTTTAAGATCTGGTGTTGCTAAACCTCCTTCCTTTACAATTTTTCCATTATTTCCTTTGATATTCTTCACTTTTTGTTCTTCTCAATGAATTTTGTTAGGATTTTTTTTTCTAGCTCAGTAATTTTTTTTTTGGTAATTTGAGATGGCATTAAGTATACAAATTAGTTTAGGTAGAATTGTCATTTTATTATATTAGCCCTGCCTACCCAGGAACAATTATTATTTCTCTAATTATTTAAACCAGGTTTTATTTATATAAAAATGATGGGGGGGGTTTTGGAATTTTGTTTATATAGTTCCTGGGTTCATTTAGGCAGGTATACTTCCAGGTATTTTATACTCTTGAGTTATTTTAAATAGAGTATCTTTTTACTGTCTCTTCTTACAAAATTGTTTTTGTGATACATAGGAATTGTGATTTATGCAGATTTACTTTATATCTTGCCACTTTACTAAAATTATTAGCTGTTTCAATTAACTTTTAGCTGAATCTTTGGGATCTTCCAAGAATATCATCATATCATCTGCAAAAAGAGGTAGTTTTATTACCTGTTCTCTATTCTAATCCCTTCTATCTTTTTCTTCTCTTAAAAATGATTTTCTTTAAATGAAGAGGGCTAGCTGAAGGAGAGGAGACTTGGGAGTTGAAATCTATTTGACTAAAGGAGAGGAAAAAGAGGGGAAAGAAATATAAAACCACACAAGAGCAGGAGCAAAAAAAGAATTAATTAAGAAAACCCTAAAGGGGAAACAGCATCAAATGAGAAGGGTGCACTAGAGTTGAGGGGAGGAGTACCACAGGAAACAGAGTTATCTTAATAAAGATTAAAAGAAAGTAACTGAATGAACAGCAGCTAAGTGACACAGTGGCTAGGGCACTGGACTTGGAGTTCAAATCTGGTCTCAGACACTTACTAGCTGTGTGACCCTGGGTAAGTCACTTTACCCTGTTTGCCTCATTTTCCTCATCTGTAAAATAAACAGTAGAAGGAAATGGCAAGCCATTCCAGTATCTCTGGCAAGAAAACCCAAATGGGGTCATGAAGAGTCAAACATGACATGAAACAACTCAACATAATCAACAAAACTGAATGAAACTAGTACTGTGTTTACAGCAGAAAAAAAAGGAAAATGTTAACTTGAAAAAATTAGAGACAGATGAAGGAAAATATAAATCTAACTCCTAAATTTAAATGGGAATGGATTAAGCAGTCTAATAAAATTTAAAAGATTTGAAGATTGGACAACAAATCAAAACCCTCAAATTGATTACTTATAAGAAATGCATTAAAAAACAAAGACATATACATAATAAAACTGGGAGAAAAGGAAAAATTTACATCAACTGAACTGAAAAAAAAAGCAGGAGCTGCCATCATGCAATTAAAAAAAAAGCAAAAACAAATATCGAAAAGTTAAAAGGAAGAGGAGAAACAGCCAAGATGGTAGAGGGAATTGAGTATTTCTGCTGAACTCTCCCAATCCAACACTCTAAACAACTTTTAAGAAATGATCCAAATCAAATTGAATGTGATAAGCAAAAAAATAAGAAGTCAAAGTGTCTCCTTATAATATTGTAAACAATAAAATAATCTTAAAGAATGGGAAATCATAAGAAGAAGAAAAAAATTCTTTAAAGATAATGAGAATAATATGACAATGTGAAAAATTTGTGGAGTACAGCCAATTTCCAATTCTTTACCACCAAAGAAAAAGAACTGCTATATTTTTTTTACATATTAGGTTCTTTTCCTTTTTCTTTGATCTAATTGAGATAAAACCTAGTAGTGGCATTGTTGGGTTAAAGAGTATGCACAGCTTTATGTTTCTTTGAGCATGGTTCCAAACTGTTCTCCAGGATGTTTGGACCAGTTCACAACTCCACCAATAGTTTATTAGTGTACCTATTTTCCCTCATACTCTCCAGCATTTGTCACTTCTGAGCCTTCTACTTCTTTAATGTGGAAGCTCTTGTGATCTTGAGTGCAGCTCCATAATATTTAAACTGTCTCTTTCTAGCTGCTTGCAATATATTCTCCTTAAAATAGGAGCTTTGGTCTTTTGCTAGAATATTCCTGAGAGTTTTCATTTTGAGATCTCTTTGGAAGGTAATCAGTGGATTTTTTTCAATTTCTATTTTACCCTCTGAATCTAAGATAATCAGACACTAGTCTTATACAATTTCTTCAAATATAATTTCAAGGTTCTTTCATTTATCATGGCTTTCATTCACTCCAGTAATTCTAAAATTATCTCTCCTCAATCTGTTTTCTAAGTCAGCTGTTTTTCCAATGAAATATTTGACATTTTCTTCTATTTTTTATTTAACTTTGTTTTGTTGTTTCTTGATGTCTCAAGGGGTTGTCTATTTTTGTTTACCCAATTCTAATTTTTAAGGAATTATTTTCCTCAGTGAATTTTTGTGCTTCTTTTACCATTAAGCCAATTCTGTTTTCTAAGGTGTTATTTTCTTCAGTATTTCTGTGCTTCATTTACTAAACTGATCATTTTCTTTTCATAATTATCTTGAATGACTTTCTTTTCACAATTTTTCCTCCACCACTCATTTCTTTCTTTAGCTCTTCCAAGAATTTTGGTTGGGCTTGAGTTCAATTAGCATTTCTCTTTGATGCTTTGCATGTAGGTGTTTTCCCAGTTTTGTCTTCTGAATTTATGCCTTAATCTTCCCTGCCTCTGCAGTAGCTTTTCAAGGTCATTTTTTTGTGGTTTGTTCATTTTCAACTTATTTTTTGACCCAATTTTATGTTAAAGTTGGACTCTTCTCACCTGGGAGTGGGGAGGGAGTGTACCAAGCTTCAGGTTTTTTCATGCTGCTGTTTTCAGAGTTGGTTCAGAGGGTCTCCAAGTTTTCAGTGCTTCCATGGTGCTGTGTTCCATGAACAAGTATGCTCATTGCCCTCCTGGTCTGTGCTCTGGTCTTTACCCTGGAACGGCTCCTGTTCTTCTGCAGCCATAAGTATTAGCATTCCTTTCAGCCCTGGGACTGTGACCATGTTTCCTGCTCTCAAGCCACAAGTGCTAACTCTCCTCTCTGCATTTGAACTCTGAGAAGGGCCCCTTCTCCCTTGTGACCAACCAGAAACAGACTTCTCTGCCCTGGAACTGTGACCCAGAACTACATATGATCAATGTTAATCAATGCTAGCTGCACTGAGTGCTAGCAAAGAGTCCCTTATAATCTCTTTCTTAAAAGTTGTCTTTCCCCCTTACTGTTTCTGGGCTTCAAACTTCAGAAACTGATGCTGTTGTGACTGCCACTGCTGTCCCATTTCTAAAGTCCAGCATTGGTGCTAATGCTGCTTGCTGTGTGCTCTAGGAAAACCCCCACCACAATATCACAGACCTCTCTTGCTGATCTCCAAAATTTGTCTTGGGCTGGAAAAATGTCTGACTTTCACATCTTGTTGGCTCTTCCACTCCAAAATTTGAATTGAGATATTATTTTAAAGTTGTTTGAAGGGGAATATTGGAAGAGTTCAACTGAGTTGCTGCCTGTATTCCACCATCTTGGCTCCACCTACTAGCTAACTTGAATTTTTTTAAATAAAGAATAAAATCAAATTATCTGTCTCAAAAAATGAAAAGGGCAATTTTGCTACCAATGGAGAAAAAAATTAAAGCAATTATTCAAAAATTTAAAACAACTATATGCCAAAAAACCAACAATCTAAATTAACTGGATAAACATTTAAAAAAATATAAATGTCCCAAAAATAACAGAAGAAATGGAATACTTAAATAATTCTATCTCAGTTGAACAAGCCACAGATCGCCATAAGAGGAAAACCATAGGATCAGATGGATTTATAAGTGAATTTTACCAAAAAACTAAGGAACAATTAATTCCAATATTACATAAATTGTTTGGAAAAATAGGTTTAAAAGGGAATCCTACAAAATTGCCTTTATGACACAGACATGATTTTGATACATAAGGCAGGGAGAACAAAACTAGAAAAAGAAAATTATAGACCTATTCCCTAATGAATATTGATGAAAAATTATAAATAAAACATTAATAAGATTGTTATCCTTTGTGCTCAAAGAAGACCAAAATGACATCTGTGTGTCTGGCTGCGGCTGATTAGATCTACATGAACTTGAAAGCTTCTACCATAGATCAGGCACAAGTATTCTATACGAATATTTGAGTGGAGATGTCTCTAAATTTGCACATCTCATGTTTTCTTTGAGCTACTGCAATTCTGCTTTGCTTTTAGAGCACAATTCATTCTTTGATGCTGGCATGTCATTCTGGGAAGTCCTGAGCAGATGTCTTTTGTGTCTCACAATCAATAACAAAGTTCTTCAGAGAAACCTGGAGGGTATCCTTATATGGCTTTTTCTGACTTTCACATGAGTCTTCTTCCCTCTCCCAAATGCTTCCTTCTGTTACTGTTGAGAGTACCACTTTATTCCCAGTCACTCAGTCTTCTGAATTAAGTGCCATCCTTAACTGTTCACTCACTTTCATCCTCCCATATCCAATCTGTTACCAAATATTATTGATTTAACTTCATGACTTTTCTCATATTTGCCATCTTCTCTTCTCACACCTTGCCACCATCTTGTTTTATGCCCGCATCACTTCCAACCTGGACTCTTGTAATAAGGTGATGGTTGTTCTGCCTTCTATAAGCCTCTCCCTGGTATAGTTCTTTCCCACTGCAGTTTTTTCTCCACTCAGCTGTCAAAGTAATTTTCCTAAATTTCACATCTGACATTATAAATTAAACTAATTAACTAAATTAATTCCTGCTAAATAAACTCCAGCATCAAGTATAAAATCCTCTGTTTTTATTTCAAAGTCCTCCATAAGCTGCCCGCTACTTTTCCAAAAAATAGTCTGGGATCCAGTGACACTGACATCCTTGTTCTTCTCAAAAAAAGAAACAAAACACCACTCCATCTCTTAGCTTTACACATTCTTGCTATCTGTTATGCCCAGAATATTCCTGTTCCTCATCTTTGCTCTCTGGACTTTCTGGATTCTTTCAATCTAAGCTAAAAGTTCACCTTCTACAGGAGGCCCTTCACAATCACTCTAAATTCTAATGACTTCCCTCTGTTAATTATTTCAAATTTATGTTTTATAAATCTTATTTGTACACAGCTGTTTGCATGTTATGTCCACCATGAGACTAAACCACTTGAGATCAAAGACTCTTTTACCTTTCTTTGTATCTCAAGCCCTTAACACAGTATTTGAAACATATTAGGTACTTAATAAATATTTGTCAGCTGAATGATTACCAACTCAAATATTATTTGTGAGGAGCACAGTACACACACTTCCTGGTCAAGTTTCCATTTCCTGGCAATGGAAAACACACAATTTTAAAGAAAATTAACTGCCAGGGATGAGGAACCCAGATTTCTCCTTTTTCTGATTTCATCAGGAACATTTCATGGAGGGTCCAAACCACAGCATAGACTCCATTGTAGATGGTGTAACTCAAGTCAGACATGATCACGTCAAAGTAAAGCAAAGGCAAAGTCTCCAAGGAGGTATTTAGTGAACATTTTTCTTGTTTCAGTTTTTCAGGTTCTTCTATACATTTGAATGTTGAGTGCCAGAATTCTTTCAGTATGATGTCCTCTGTGTATTTAGTAGGGTTCACTGTCCTGAGAAAAGCCTTAAAACCAGGAACTTCACTTGTTAAGTGTGAAAATGTAAGTGACCCATGAAAATTATAACCATCAATGTACCGGGGTCTCATGGTAATGTCCCAATGAGAAGTAGTGACCCACACTTGAAATTTGGGAGAAAAGGAACTTGTGAATATCTCAATATCATTAATGAATCTCTGTCACCATGAATAAAAATCACTCTGGTTGGTGATGCCATGATCTTGGGCATGAATGCCATGTATGATTCTGTGTGTCTTCTCTCACTGACAGGGATCTTCTCTGTGAAGGACACACAGATACCATTATTTGCCATCTCTAATATTAGTTCCTGAAGGAATTCCTCACCTCTCAGGTCATCTACTGTCAACAGGGCTACCCATGTCCATTTAAAGTGAGTCATCAATCTGACCATACCCTTATGTAGGGAAAAGTCCCTGGGGGCCATTTGGTAAAGAGAAGGAAACTGAGCCTTGTCACTCAGGATGGGATCAAACGGCCCAAAGGTGATCTGGATTCAAAAGAAACATGGGGAAATCTGAGATCTAAGAATATGATCATGTAAATGTGGGCTTGAAAACAACAAACTTGTTTTTAGAGCTGATACTTTAATTAGGTGAGACTGTCAATTAATCAAAACATTAGACTACATGTGAGGCATCTTTGAAGTCATTGAAATTAAATTAAATAAGGCTGAACAGGAAATCTCTTTCAAGAGCTTGGGAAATGGATTCAAGCCTCTAGATACCTAGAGATCATCCATGAGTTATTAATGGAAATGAGAGGAGAAAGAAACTCCAGAAATTGAAGTGGATGACTTTTCAGCACACCTCTGAGATGCAAATCCAAGAAGTAGACATGGAAAAGAAGGGGGAAATTGAGGAGAGTCATGGGTTCTAAAGACAGCTCAGAGCAGAAGACTCAGAGAGTGGGAAACACCAAGATAATATTGGTTCTTTCCCCTGCTTCCCCTCGGGTCCTTTCTATATAGGCTTTCTATTCATATAATATAATCTGTTGTTTCATTACGCAAACATTTCCAGGAAGCTCAATATTTATTCAACCACAAAAAGGCCAGAAGTTAACTAGACACAAATATAAATGCAATGTTAGGCAACTTACTTTTAAATATTAAGGGTTTTTTTTTTCAGAACTAGGGACTCCTCATTATTGTAATTGGACTCATCATAATTGTCAACAAAAATTCCCCCAAAAAATTAAAAGGAAGGAATCAAACAAGCTAATTATTTTACCATGTAAGATTAAGTGTGTAAAAGTATCCATTCTTCCCATGTCATCCTTACCTTGTCAGAAGAAAAGCCATGGATTCAGAATGAACTCTGCTACCAAAGGCATTTTGTTTTCCCCAAACTTTTGCATTTATTCATTTCTCTGAGCCCTCTAAAAGACATCTAAAAGTTTGTTGAAGAAATACACCTGATTTTTCTATTTCATCTGTTTTATAATGTGTGTTTTCCCTCTCCTGCCCAAATGGCACTAGAATATATTTCTATTTCTTGTCTTGGTTCTTCCGCTATGGTAGATTCCTAGTCTAGAATTGTTATACCTTACTAGTAGTGGGTATGATATATGCATGCAAAAATAAAACAAAATTGAATAGCATGTGCATGTATGTTCATGTTTACACGTATGTGTAAGTGGTGAGACAAAGAGTGCAATTAAAATCACAGTGAATTTGCAGTGTGTAAATGTTGTATGAGGCCAGCTAGGTGGTACACTGGATAGAGTGCCAGGCCACGAGTCAGGAAAACCTGAGTTCAAATTTGACCTCAGACACTTACTAACTGTGTGACCCTGGGTAAGCAATTTAAATTTATTTGCCACAGTTTCCTCATCTGTAAAATGAACTGGAGAAGGAAATGGCAAGCCACTCTAGTATCTTTAGCAAGAAATCCTCAGATGGGGTCATGAAGAGTTGGTCATCAATGAAATGAATGAAAAACAAAGTGTTGTACTCAGAGTTGGCCAATCTGGAGGTTTTCTCATTGAAAGTGGAACACAGATCTTTGCTTATTAAGACATTTAGGAAAAAAAAGTCTATATATGAAGATCTGAGGTACATGTAAATACCATCACTGTGATTCTGAAAATGTTAGCTTATGCATTCATGTTCAGAGCTGGTATGCCTAAACACAAAACCTTAAGCCAGCTGATTAAGAAAGCCATGACTAACTGGGCAAAGGTTAAATTTCACACTCAGTTTAAAAGTTCCCTACCCCCCACAATTGATTAACCCTTTGACAAGAAAACCCCAAATAAGGTCACAAAGAGTCAGACATGACTGAAACAACTGAAAAACAACACCCACATGATATATATTTCCACAACAGCATGTGGTACACTCTGTTTCTCTCTACATATACAATCATCTTCTAATTTATCTCTATTTCACATTTCTCTGACTCTGAAGTATACTTCCTTTAGTTGCCACAGTGAATTTCCTAAAATGTATTGTGAGCATGCCATTCCCCTTCTTCAACAAACTCATGTCTCACTATTGACTCTAGGATCAAATATTAAGACCTCTCTTTGGCATTTAAACACCTTCTCAACTTTGTACTTCCCTACTTTTCCAGAATTTTTGTAGATCATTTCCTTCATGCAAAATCAAATCCAACCAAACTGATGTTTCTGTTCCTGATCATGACATTCCAGCTCCAACCTCTGGGCTTTTGTAGTGGCTGTAGGTGTGCTATTGCCCTCTCACCTCTACCTCTTAGGTTCTCTTTTTTCATCAAGGCTGAGCTCAAAGGCAACCTTATCCTGGTGGTATTGGTTCTTGCCCTTCATGCTCAAAGAGGATCAAAATGGCATTACTGTGTTGGGGTCAAGGCATGGTGACCATGGCTGTTGTTATTTATATATCCATTCCTCTCAAGGACTTTCTGCCATGTTTCATAGTCAGTGCCTACTCTGATCTTAAAGTCACCCAGAATTACAAGCTTGTCTTGAGGGTTTCCAGGTTTTCTTAAAACTTTTCTTTGATTTCATCAGAGTTCATCATGGTGGGAGCATATGCACTAATGATGGTGGTGTGAAGCTTTCTTGCAAGTGGCAATCTCATTGTCATCAGCCTGTCATTCACTCTTTTGGGGAGCCATACCAGCTTGTTGACTACATTAGTTTTGATTGAAAAATGTATGCCAGATTCATGGAACTCCACATCACTGAGGCCAGTCCAGAAAAATGTGCATCCAGCTCAGACTTCTGTAAGCTGCCCTTCATTTGCCAGCCTTATTTCACTCAGGGCTGATATTTGGACGTGATACCTGCTGACATCTCTAGCATCAACAGCTGTTCATCTTTCATATGTATTAGATTTCTTGTTCTCCATAAGCATGCACAAATTCCATGTCTCAACTGCCCTGATACCCTAGAATCAGAAGGCAAAATATAAATTCAATCTATTGATCGCTATCTGAAAGAGATCCCAAAATGAAAACTCCCAGGAATATCATAGCCAAAGTCTAGGGAAAATACTGCAAGCATCCAAAAAGAAACAGTTTGAATATCATGGAGTGCATTCTGAGAAGATGGCAGAGTAAGTCAGAAATCTCCAGGCTCTCCAGACAGAAAATTACCACAGAATGAGCATAGAGCAGCAAAAATAAAGGGGTAAAGCAGTTATCCTCTTAAGACATCTCGAGAAGACCTCAGAAAAGACTCTAGGGACTGAGGTTTGGCCTGAATGAAGTGCAAACAGTTCCAGGCCAACTCCATTGAGTCAACAAACAGTAGGCCCCAAGGGAAGCAGACTAGACCTTGGGAAATTTTGCCTCAACTCTCATATCATTCAGTTTCACCTCCCGAACTTTCATCTAAGAAACGGCAGACACTGAATGAGAAATTATTGAAGGACAACCCCTCTTGATGTTTCTGGAAGTCAGGCCTAGCTGTGCTGACCAGACTTGACCCCTGGCTACAGGTGAGGAGGAATGAGCACACACCCAGTGAGTGCAGCACGGAGCAAGAACATTTTCAGGACAGTATGGCTGGGGCTTAGAGGAGGAAGAGTGGAATCCCTGAGGTTGATCCCCCAGAAAGAATTGGGAAAATAACAGTAAGAAGGACCTGAGTCCTAAGGCAACATTACCCACAACTCAGGATAAAACTTGATAATAATGACAATGTTAATCTGCTAAAAACAAAATGAGACAAATTAAAAGTAAAATGAATAAGCAAAGGAAAAAGAATCTGACCAATGATAGTAACTTTGGTGTAAAAGAAGATCTAGGTTCAAATTCAGAGAAAGACAGTGAAGTTTGAAAAAAATCCACTCTTACCCTAAAAAGTAACATCAATTGGTCACAAGCCCAAAAAGAAATCTTGGAAGAACTTAAAAAGGAATGCAAAATGGGGCAGCTAGGTGGCACAGGGGATAGAGCACTAGCCCTGGAGTCAGGAGGACCTGAGTTCAAATCCAGCCTCAGACACTTGAAACTCACTAGCTGTGTGACCCTGGGCAAGTCACTTAACCCCATTGCGTAGCCAAAAAAAAAAAAAAGGAATTCAAAAATCAAATAAGAGAGAATTAGGGAAAATTAGAAAAAAATTAAAACAACTCAAGAAAATTGTGAAAAGAAAGTTAACCACTACGAAAAGGAGATACAAAATTTTCAGCAAGAAAATAACTCCTTGAAAACTAGAATTGGGCAAGTGGAATTGAATGATGTTATAAAAGACACTGAAAGAATAAAACTAGAAAAAATAGAAGAGAATCTGAAATATCTCATTAGAAAAATAAATGATCTGGAGAACAGATAAAGGAGGGATAATATAAAAACTGTCAAACTACCTAAAAGTTATGATCACAAAAAGAATCTAGATATAATATTACAAGAAATTATCAAGGAAAATTGCCCTAAAGTTCTAGAAAGGAATGTAAAGGAGAAATAGAAAGGATGCGTAGATCATCACCTGAAAGAGATCCTAGAAAGGAAACTTATAGGAATGTCATAGCCAAATATCAAAATTCAAGGTTAAAGTGAAAACATTGCAAGCAACAAGAAAAAATAATTTCAATACTGTGAAAAAAATCAGGATTTCACAAGACCTAGAAGCTTCCACGCTAAAAGACAGTATGTCTTCAAACATTATATATTTCAAAGAGCAAAGGAGCTGGGGTTGCATCCAAGAATAACTTATCCAGCAATGGTGAATATAATTCTGAATGGGGGAAAAATGCACATTTGATGAACTGAAAGACTTTCAGATATTTGTAACAAAAAGAGCAGAACTTAATGGAAAATTTGAGATACAAGATCCAGAACAAATATAAAGAAATCATTAAAGACTAATTATGATGGATTTATTAAGATCAAACTGCTTATTATATATGAAAATGTTATTAATATTAGTTATTCTTAGTAGTAGTAATATTTCTAAAACTATTATCATTACTAGGGGAGTTTGAAAGAAAGGTTGAGACTGAGCTGTGAATGATAAGGTGATACTGAAAAACAAAACTGGGTAAGAAAGGGCTAAAAAAAG